GGAGAATTGATGCCTTTGAGCTGTGGTGCTGGAGAAGAGTATTGAATGTACCCTGGACTGCCAAGAAAACAAACAGATTCAACCTGGAGAGTATTAAACCAGGCTCCTCCTTGAAGTCAAGGACTCTGGGGCTTCGTCTGTCATACTTTGGGCATGTTGCAAGTAGGGATCAGTCCTTTGAGAGGGATGTCATATTCAGGAGGGTAGAAGGACAGAGCAGGAAAGAAAGACCTTAAATAAAGTGGAATAATTCAGTGACTGAGATAATGTGTGTAAGTGTGTCAGAGACTATAAGATTGGCACAGGAGAGAGCAGGGTTTAGGGCTGTTGTGCATAGGGTGTCCATGAGTAGCAGGCGACTCAACGGTACATAACAACAATAACAACAACATATGTAGCATGCTAATAATGATTGTAATTTCTTTGTATTTGAAGCAGCTATACATTATGATGTTTTCAGTTTCATTTTCTGTCTTTTTTTCTCCTTCAAGGAAGCAATCCTCTGTGCTGCACTTTCCTGTGAAGTTGATCCCAGAGCAGAACTTACATAATTTTCTAGAAATAATACTAAATTTAATATCGTTCTTTAGATGTCTGCCATCACTCTGATTTGTAAACCTTTCCTTAATCTTTTAATCTAGGATATTGGGTTAGTAAATGTAGGTGGACTAATTTCAAGGGACTCAGAATGAACTGGGAAGGAAAGTCAGTGTTAGTAAATGGTGACAGAACATCTCCCAGCTGACATACAAGGGAGGAATCGGGCAATCTCAGCATTATCTTCTTCAGACCTGTGGAGTCATCTTCAATGTCATGTGGCAGCAGGATGACCATGCTGAGGTCGTTGTCTTCATAAGGCAGTACTAACACATGGCACTTTACTTCATCGATATAGCCGTATGAAAATATATCCACCTGACACATCATTTTCACCGTTTTTTTATCTTTCTGAGCAGGTCAAAGAGACATATCAGTCAAGTTAACTGTATTCTTTTATAGTAAGAAGTTATTTTTTATTTTATACTAGTTTATTTATAACATTTGAATACATTATTTTCAAGAACAGATTATTTCCATTTCCCTCATACTATCCCATCAAATTATTTTATTAATGTTACATTTCCTTACTTTATTCAAATGGAATTGGGCTTCTTTTGTCTCATCTTTAGGAAATAATTTCTGCCACTTCCCCTTGAAATAGATGGCATTCACTAGCACGAGTTTAGTCAAGCTGTTAACCACACCTGAAGGTAAAATGTCTGGAATTTTCCCTGAAAAGACAAATATTTTTTAAAAATACCTTCCTATCATAAACTCAACTTGAACCAATTTTATACTAGCGCTCAAATGTAGTTCAAATGTATAGCTTTCTACTTCATTCTCCTTTAAAAAGGAATTCCCTAAGAAAGCGCATCCAAAAATTGATTACAATTTATATTGGTTACAGAAGTCAAATTTCTCGTAGCAGTCTTATGTACACATATCTGAACCCTGCCCTATTCTGAGCCAGACTCACTGACTCTGACACATCTAAGGGCATTGCTCCAGTCATCATGTCCATTCATTTTACCCAGAGTATTCCTGTCCTGCTCTGTCCCTCCATACTTGCAAACATGATGTCCCTCTCCATGACTGACCCCTCCTGGGCACATAACCCAAAGTATGTGAGAAGGAGCTTTAAAATCCTAGCCTCCAAGTAGAAACTTTGTTTCATTCTCTCCAAGACAGGCCTATTTGGTCTCCTGGCAGTCCATGGTATGATCAATACTCTTCTCCAGCACTAAGTCAAAGTTTAAAGAAATTTAGTTGTTATGTAAACCGGAAGAGAAACATCTAACCATACAGAATGTCAACACTTAGTAAGTATATGCTAAAAGGCTATTTTTTTCTAGTTTCTTTTTTAGCTTAAATTTTTTTAACACTAATTTTAATGTAAGTTTACAGAGACTTTGGATTTATATTCATTCATTGTGGTACTTTTCTCCCTGCCACCCCTTCCCCCAATTTGTGGTTCTCTTTGAAAATTAAAATAAAAATTCTTTCATTGTTATAAAATCCCTCCCCCAAATTCACCCCACTATCCTGCCTTCATTCTTGACTCCTTTCATAACAATACCTATCAAATATTCCTTTTTAACAGTTCTCTCCCTCATCTGTTTCAGTGCAGTATACATTATTCCAGTATACATTACTTAACCACTTTTTCTCACTCTCCCTAAACCCTGTATCTATTCTCTATTATAACAGTGGCATTATGCACTATTTGTCTTTTTTTGTAACAAAAATATTTCACTAAGCATAATGTCCTCCAGGATTTTGTGTAATATTTCTTGAGTTCCTTGTTTTCCAATGCAGCATTGTATTTTTTAAATTTTATTAATTTTAATGGACATTTATAGAGATTTTATATTTCCATTCATTCATTGTTGACCTTTTCTCCCTGCCCACCTCTCCTCTCCAGTTCGGTCCTCTCTTTGAAAAGTAAAAGAAAATTTCCTTCATCGATGTACAGTCCCCCCTTCATCCCCCCCCACCCGCAACCCTGACCCTGTGCAGTATAGCACTCCATTATGTGAATATATCATAGCTTCTCTATTCATTCATTTGTTGATGGGGACTTGGGTTGTTTCCAACTCTTTGCTATTGTAAACAAAGCTACAATAAACAACATGTACACATATCTGCTTGAGTGGCAGTCATGGTTTTTTAGGGTATATCCCCAGTAGTGGAATTGCTGGGTCAAATGGTATTTTTATTTGTACCTTTTTGAGAAAGCACCATAAAGCTTTCCATAGTACACCAGTAAGAATAGCAAAATTCAACAAAACAGCAAACAACAAATGCTAGCGAGGTTGTGGAGAAACTGGAACCCTTATTTGCTGTTGGTAGGAGTGTAAAAGGCGATTTTTATTTGATAGTATGGTAAACAGTAAGCCTTATATTATTAGTTTTCTTTACTTTTCAGATAAGTAGAAATTTTTTTTCAGTTGTTAGCAAATCCCCTTTTAAATCCAACCAGTGTGCTTTCATAATAATGATTCAAACCAAGACCTTTGGATCCAAGGTTATTCTCACAGACTAGGAGTGTCCTAGTTACGGGACTCTGCTGTTGGGAAAGGACACTGTAGAAATCAGAAGACAGACATGTGAAATGGGGTGTGAGACTGAACAAGTCAACAATCATCCCAACAAGCAGCATTTATTTGAAAGGATATTGTAGACAAAGTCTGTAATGACTGGTAATATATTCTCTATTCCCTTCCATATGTATATTAAATTACTTTAGGAAAGCTGGATTTGTTCAGCATGTTTCTTTTATTGATTTTGCATGTAATATTACCTGCTATTTCAAAATGACACTTAGGAAAACTGGTGGGAGTGTGGCATTAAAAAGAATCTCAATACTTTAGATAAATTGGGTCTAAGTTATTATTTTGGTAAATTTCTTATATTTGGAAGTTCTTAAGATTTTAATGAAGTGGGGAGATGACATCACATTTACCACCATCTGACTATGAGTGCATCTGGATAGGACTTGAGGGAGTGGAAGAGAGCAGGGAAGAAACACAGAGAAGGATCTTGGGCCTGAGGTAAAAGTTCACATGTCATTCTATCCCATACCTTCTGTCTGGTCTTTGACCCACTGGTTTATCTCCTTCCTCACGTCCTCAGAGGCATGCTGGAAATCCACACTGGCCAGGTCAGCCCCATAGAATTTCTGAATTGTTGCCAAGAAATCCTATAAACAAAAAAGAGGAAGTGTTATGAGTAGGTTTTGTTACATTCAAATATTGTTAGGTAAAATCTATAAGAGCAACAGCAATTATCCTAAGAGGCCAAATTCCATTCACACACAACAGGTTTTGACTCTTCTTCTTTTGGTGCTTTATCAAATTTAGAAATTCTTCCCATCAAACTGTCTGAAAGGATTTTCATTGGCTAACTGTTCAAGGGGCTCCTGGCACACCTTTCCACTGCAGGCACCATGGCATATAACATCATATCATGGAAAGACAACCTTCTCTGCACCAAGTTTCCTTACTACATCACTTTTTCGTGGGGTCTCATCTCACAGACACAGGCAATCAAGTCATACTGGAATTGAATGCTTCTAAACACTAGTGGCTTAGTGAGTAAGGATTTGCATTGCCATCACAAAGGTAGTGGTTCAAATCCACCACATGCTCTGGGGGCGAAAGACAGGCACTACAGACTCTAAAATCTTCCTGGAGTGTTTCAACAGAGTCAATTCACACTAAGCAGCAAAGACTTGAGTTTATCTGTAGTGGGTTTTTAAATATTGGTTCACATGCATAATTAGTATCCTTTGTGTTTCACACATTCTTTGATTCTCAATGTGTTTTATAAAATTAATCACCACTGATTATGGTGTGTGAACTAATTTCATCTCTTAAGGACAAATACCACTTGACACCATTACTGTAAAAATAGAAGGATAATTAGCAAAATGAGTTGAGGTTTTGAGTTGAAGTTTGGAAGTGACTCTGTGCCAGGGGCATTTGAGAGTACACAGCAGGAACTACTTACAGGGAGGAAGTGATAGGTCTTCTCGCCATAGAACCCGTTAGCAAGTTTCAGGATGTAGGAGGCATCACGTTTGTTGATTTCAGCATTCAGACACTGAACTTCCTCAATCTTATCAAGATGAAATGCCTGAAAGAAAGGAAGCATTCTTTCCATGAGCATTTATTTTGAAATTCCAAAGGGATTCTATTTGTGATCCTCAAATTAAAGTAATATGCTTTAATTAAGGTTACTGATGATTCTGCAATGAGCATTTTTATTCATTTTCATTTGGGTCAAACATTATTGAATTCAAAATTTAAATCTCTGTGAAACCTGATTATTTGATATACGACTACTTTTTTTCAATTTTCCTTCAAAAATATGAATGGCTAAAAAGTAAACTAAATAATAAATAATTGAAATGCCTACAGAAAGTTTGTAAGATATTTTTCCAAGAAAAAGAAAAATTGCATCTATAATTTTTCCTAAATATAAAAATATATAAATATCTGTACCATTTATTTTCTGGAGGATAAAATATAAACAACAAAAATTACCATTTTACCAATTCTAGAACAAAAAATATTAAGTATTGAAATGTTACATTTTGTTCAATGTCTTTAGATGAAGAGTCAGAGAATCAAAAGGGATGAGTTCTTTGGCATTTCTTAACCTGAAGAAATTGGAGACAAATTCAAGCTTCAAGTCACAGCCCTTAAGAATGCAGTGGTAAAAAATGCTGTGGGCAAAAAATTGAATAATACAGGAAGCATTAAAAGAAGATGCAAGGAGTTCACTGGGTCACTATACCAAAAAGAAATCGTTGATAGAGATGATTTTCTGGAAACAACATACACTCAAGAGAAAATAGTGATAAAGCTTCTCTGAAGAAATTAGCAGAAAACAATGTCCCAGAAATTGATGGAATAACAATTGACATATTTAAACAAATGAAAGAAATCCTGGGTGTGCTTACCAGGCTATGCCAAGAAATCTGAAGGACAGCTACCTGGTCAACTACAGTAAGAAATCAATATTTACTCCATTCCAAAAGAATCATGATCCAAAAGAAGGTAGAAATTATTGAACAATATCCTTAACATCACATGCAGGCAAACTCTGCTGAGCAGTATCTACAAATGACAGTAATAGAACATCCACAGAGAACTACCAGAAGTGTAAATTGGTTTTAGAAGAGGTTATGGCACTAGGGACATCATAACCAATTTCACATGGATTGTGGTTGAAAGCAGAGAGTAATAGAGGAATACCTGTTTGTGTTTCATTTGCAATTCAAAGGAATTTGACCATGTAGATCACAACAAATTTTATCCCAGAACATGAGATTGTGCTCATGTGAAACATGTGCTTGGACCAGGAAGCAGTGGTCAAAACAGAACAAGGAAATATTTCAATATTCTAAATCAAGAAAGGAGTGTGTCAGGGATTGATGTACCCTGTCTTCATAACATTTGAATCCATATGTGGAATAGAGTACTTGGGAGGCTAAAGTTTATGAAGAGGAATGTGACATGATGATTGAAGGAAGAGTCAACGACAACCTGCCATCTTCAAAAGACACAACCTTGGTTGCTCAAACAGAGAAGACCTAAAATGTTTATGAAGGAAGGTAAAGGAATATAGTGTTTAATAGGGACTGAAGCTCAACACACACACACACACACACACACACACACACACACACACACACACACACACACACACACACACACACACAACCAACACCCAAAGATTGTTTCCATTGTGCCCATTGGCAGCCCTGTGATAGATGGAGAAAAGGTGAGATTATTAACATTTTCAGCTTTTGGTTTCATGACAGATGAGAAATCAAAAGACAAATTGTATCGAGAAAATATTCTGTCAGTAGCCTTGCCAGAATACTAAAGAGCAACAATGTCAGTCTAGAGACTATGGTGCACCTGATTCATGTCATGGTTTATGAAATTACCTGCTATATGTCAAAAGCTAGAATTTACTAATAATGAAAAAATGTAGATACTTTAATGGTGCTGGAGAAGAGTGCTGAGCATACCCTTTACTGCCAAGAGTACAAACAACTCTGTCCTTGAGAGGGTGAAGTTGAGGTTTTGGGGGGTTTTTTTGGGTTTTTTTTTAGGCAAAAATTTTGCTTCTTATGACATACTTTGGGCATGATGTCAGGAGAGACCAATACTTGGAGAAGGACATCATGCTTGCAAGAGTGACAGAACAGTGTAAAATAGGAAGCTATAGGATGAGACCGATTGTTACAGTAACTAAGGTAACTGAGCTATGTGTGTTGGACAGTAAGACCGGCTCAGGATAGTGGACAGTTCAAATCTGTGGTGCATTGGGTCTCTATGATTTCCATTTAACAACAACATGTTCAATTCAGCACAACTTAACCTATGTGAAAAGAAGTGGAGGCAAATAAACCATGAACAGTGAAAAAAAAAAGTGGAGGGTGAAACGGTGGAAGGTATTCAGTCAAAGAAAATGTCGCCAACTTTCCCGCATATATCTCATTATTCCCGGGACTGGAAATTTGGTTTTATTGTCCCTCCTGAACACATATATTAAAAAAAATTATATTCATGCCTGGCAGGGAGCTGAGTGACAGTTACAAAAGAAGAAGATTCAGAAATATTGCTGATCATGCTCCAAGGAAATAATACTAGTGTGGTATTATTGATCATCAGTATGTTACCTGATGCAAAGCAGGAATCCTAAGTTCCTAGCCAAGGAGAATACGGCTGACTGATAGGAAAGTTGTTAAAACACCTTTCTGAGGAGCATAAGTCCAAAGAGGACAGGGATATTCCTGGACAAAACCCATCAATTAGAAGTTGGAGAATAAAGTTTTGAGGAAAATGAAATCCAGCACACAGATCCTTGGCCTGAACTTTTTATATTTGGTGGCACAGAAATACAGTCATTAAAACAGTAGTAATTGTAGGATGTACAGAGCACAACTCTGTGCACAGATAGACATGGAACTAATTTACATGTAAAGGGTAGTGTCACTGACCTTGGACAGCTGTGCTGCGCTGTTGCCCTTGGCCCCAGCAAGGACCAAGGCAGCTGCACAGGAGATGCTGAAGGGAGAGAAGAAGATGTTTCCTGTGGGATTCTTCTCATTCAAAATATGGAACAAGTCCAGAGTGAAATGATTATTGGCACTGGACAGCTGCTCCATGGTCACAGACTAGGGGACACAGAAGAGAGTCCTGAGCTTTCCTGTAGCACCCAGACACACTGAAGAGCTGTTTCCTGATCATTTGCTCAGGGACATGCTAAGCCAGTCCAGGGAGCAGCCTGGAGCTTCATTTTTCTCTCCTTAACTCAGGAAATCCAGCAGTCTTCCCCTCTCCCCTTACCCAAGACCAGGAGTCTTAAACAACCCATTCATCAATACAGTCCAGTCAGAACTGACTCTTAGCAGAATTTCCAGTGAGTTTTTTTTTAAAATATAATTTTATTTTATACTAATTTACTGACCAAGCTGATTTACATTGTTTTCATACCAGATCTTTCCCATTTCCTTTTCCCATTCCTACCTCTACCCATCAAATTGTGTGACCTTATGACTAAACAACCACCCACTCCATCCCACACCTACCTAGTCTCACCCTGCTGCTCTCTCCATTTGTCCCCCTGGGATCCTCATACATGTTCTC